ATTTAGTAAGCTGATTTCATTCTTTAAGTAGAGATCCACTATAAGATGGGTTTTCTGAAAATCGTTTCCTAAGTGGCGTTGCAAGGGCTTAAGAAGCGTTATAGATAATTATATCCATTTTTAAACTATTAGACGTACATTCTTGAAATTTGGTAAGCGGATTGCTTTCATAGAGTACAGATCCCCCTACAGAATGGGTTTTGTCAAAATCGACTAACAAGTGGCGTTGTGGAGAATTAAGGGGCGTTATAGGCAATTAACTCCTTTTTTAAACTATTAGACGTAAAATCTCGAAATTCAGTAAGCAGATTCCATTCACTGAGTAGAGATCCGCTATAAGATGGGTTTTGTGAAAATCATTTCATAAGTGGCGTTGCGAGGGCTTAAGGGGCGTTATAGATAACTATTTCTATTTTTAAACTATTCGACGTACAGTCTTGAAAAATTTGATAAGCGGATTCCTTTCATAGAGTACAAATCCGCTACAAAATGGGTTTTGTGAATAATCGACCCCAAGTGGCGTTGTGGAGAATTAAGGGGCGTTATAGGCAATTAACTCCTTTTTAATCTATTTGACATAAAATCTTGAAATTGAGAAAGCTGATTCCATTCATTAAGTAAAGATCTGCTATAAGATGGGTTTTGTGAAAATCGCTTCCTAAGTGGCGTTGCGGAGCTTAAGGGGCGTTATAGATAATTATTTCCATTTTTAAACTATTAGACGTACAGTCTTAAAATTTGGTAAGCGAATTCTTTTCATGGTGTAGAGATCCGCTACAAAATAGTTTTGGGGGAAATTGATCCCAAAGGGTCACTGAGGGGGATTAAGGGGCGCAATAGATAAATATTTCCGCTTTTCAACTAATAGAACCACCCGCTTGAAAAATAGAAGATATGTACCGTTCATGGAATAAAGTTCCTTTTACAAAGATTTTGCGAAAACGGACCCTCAAAGGAGTGGGGTGTGAGGGATTAAGGCGTGTTATAGAAAAATTGCTGTTTTTGAATTTAACTCATTTACTTGAAATTTGTTTAGCACTTTTCTTTAGTTGAAAAGAGTTAAACTAAGAATGGATTTTACGGAAATCAACTCCAGGGGGAAGAGGGGAGAGTTATTGGGGTGTATTGATAGACAAAATTCCCGTTTTTGAACTGCCAAGACTATAATAATAAAATTTGGTTTGCATGCTTCTTTTATTGAATTGGAATCCGCTAAGAATGCTGTCAGCGAGGTATTGATGATAAAAATTCCGTTTTTGCTCTGTTAGATTTATACTTGAAATTTAGCACGCATGTTTATTTTATGGAGTAGAGATCCACTGAAAGTTGCTTTGGTGGAAATCCACTTGATTATTAGGTTAAGTGAGCGAAAAAAATCTTTCTACTTCTATTTCAGATATAAATAGAAATTAGATATTATAATTTATGTTCTTTTTATATCAAGGGGCGAGAGTGTAACAGCTATAAATATATTTTTCAATACAATCGAATTCTTAATGCTAGATATCAATAATTAATATATATGTAAACAGTATACATATATACAACATCGTGAAATAACCAGTGAAGCGGGTGGGTAACGGCTAGTATATATATATATATATATATATATATATATATATATATATATATATATATATATATATATATATATATAAAAAAATATGTATTATTTATCAAAAACAAGAAATAATAGATAAAGAACATAACAAGAAATAGCATAATAAAAATATAAAAGCTGAACATGAAGATCAAAATTATAGAGAAATAAAAGAACTACAAAAAAGCAGAACCTAGCGAGTCAGAAAGCAATTTCGGATTTAGGACCGAGTAAGTGGAGTTAAACTAGTTTAAAGGCGCCAACCTTCCCCCTTTGCAACTCGGTAGAGGAAAACCAAATAAAATAAAATAAACAAAACTTCAGAGTATGGATAACTCAGAGAGCATGATAAAATCAATCACTACTATTATGTAACAAACTCTCCCAAAACTCCTAATGCAGAAAAAAATCACAGCATCACAAAATAATTATGTAAGAAAAGTAGAAAAATGCTAAAACAATTACATAAGAAAAGTATCATTCAAAAATTAATTTAACAAAATTTCTTTACTCACGAAGCTTTTATGAAGAGAAACAAGCGTCTTGCCATTAATGAAAGTCAATTATTCACTAAGTTAAAAAATTCGAAAATACATAACCAAATCTTTTGAGCTGACTTTTATACCAGCCAGAAAAGACAAGTATAAAATGACGACAATCAAATATGGTAAAATTTGAATTGGTTGATTGTCAAAAATGTAAATTTGCTACGCTATAATTTGGTTGGTTGTCAACAATGTGTAAGATGTTCAAGATGTGTGTGGAAAAAATGTAAACTGTGATATGAGTGTTATGATATAATCTTCACAGCAAGACCACTAACATGCTGACTTTGAAAACCTATTGTTGTGTGGTGGATTTGGAATTCGAAGTAGCAAGCCGGTTAATGTATTTGTGATGAATATAAGATCTCAAGAAATTAAAAGGGTATTCATGATCTAAACAACATTGAAAACATTTTTTTATATTATTGTATTTATCTATTTTGTGGGTAGTTAAGTTATCATTTCTAAATAAAAAATTCAAAATGATATTTCTGTAAATTGATATATGTAAATTACTGTTCCATACGGGAATTATAATTATAAGGAACTTAAACGAATCTCTTTTGTCAAAAATGTTACTGACTACAATATTGTTAATAAGATGCAAGTCTAAATCCAAGAATTCCACCCTATTAGAGTTGAAGTTAGTTTTAAGGAGCTTGAGATAATCAGGGTAGAATGTAATATTTGGTTTGTATTCACTATTTTTACCAAAAATTATTATATCATCTATATAACGATAAATTAAGTAAGAATCATTAACAACATGATCTATTTAAAAAAAAATGTAAATATAGGTTCGCTAAACAATTACTAGCTGGACCACCCTGAGGTAATCCTTTGATCTGTTTATAAAGATTCTGATTAAATGTAATGAAATTTTCTTTTAATACGAGGTTAACAAGAATATCAAATTTTTCTTTTTTCATTGAAGTATATAATTCATATTTATCATAAATTAACTGTAGAACCTTAATCATATCGTCAATATCTATAGAATTAAAAAGGTCCTCGAAATCAAAACCATGCATAGAAAAAAAAATCATCATATCATTAGTAACTCTAACAATCTCTAAGCTATTTTTAATAATTGCCGTGTTTTGTAAATTATCAATTAGATTTTGAAGAAGAGATTGTAAGATCTTCCCAGACTTCGTGATATATGTATTGTATCCATTAGTGATACTACGGAATTTTATAGGGCTTTTATGAAATTTTGGTGTTAAAAAAATACTTGGATATTTAATATTATTTAGATGGATATTCAGTCTTTTGTTAAAAGCTAAAAGACGATTATCATCTTCTCTATTATTGTGAATTGATTTTTTGAAATGAATTATTATTTAAAATGTGGTTACTTAATATTTTACTGTAAAAATATTTACAAATTATGGCATAATTAGCAGAGACCTTATCAACATATGTAATAACGAAGTCATTTTGGATATTTACTATTGATGATTTAAGATCTTTATACATAATTTCATTTTCAACAGTAAAATCTAATTCCTGAATTCCTGTTGTTACATAAGATCTAAATTGATTGAATGCTTCAATCGGCATTCCGTATTTAATTGCCATTTTAAGGTAGAATTTATCTAAATCTTTTATGATTTGTTTCATAACGTTAGATTTATTTTTTGTGATCATCAGTCTAAAACCGGTACCTTTTTCCATAAAATTTCTTAACAAATCATCTTTCACGATGCTAAGGTCTCCCGTGACAACGTGCTGATGATAATCATCAATATAGTCTCGATATAGATTGCATCTACATGATTCTGAACTTAGAAGCTCCGAGATTTGATTATAATTAAATATAAATCTACCTAATTTCTTGTTGTGTTTGAAAGCCTTTTTAATAATAATATTTTTAATAGGAAAAAAGGATTGATACTTTTGAAATATACTTGAAAAATTAATTTTGTTAAAGGATTTATTCATAAATATATATATATAATAATGTACAATATTCTGTAGAGTAATTTTCACTTGCATCTAATTTAATATTCATTTTATGTACTAAATAGTTATTAAGGTCTCGAATCATATGCATGCCATGAGAATCACGAAATTTATATCTGCTTAAAATATCTGTCATAATTTTAATTTAAGTTTTATTCAAGCCAAACATAAAGGATTTAATTAAGCCTGTGTTGTAGTTATCATCAAATTTAACAGCTAATTCTAACATAGAATTCTTGAGGGTTGACATGTCTCTAGTAACTCTTTTTATGCGTTTAGCTTTTGAAATTCTCGCTAAACGAATATTATTACTATTATCAATAAATTTTTTAAAATTCGGAATATATAATGAATTCACGGATTTTTGTTTAAAAGCTAATAAGACACTTTCACCTTTCCATATAACATTCAAACCATAAGGATAATATGATCTAAATGAATCTATAAAAAAGTTTTCGAACCATAATCTTTGTTTAATATTTGGCACTATTCTAAGTATATGTACAGTTATGTTATTGAATCCATGTTTATGAAAGTGTCCTATCTCAATCTTAACCTGGTTATTGTTGCAATCAAATTTCCTTGTATCAGACCTATGCTGATTCAATCTAATATTGATAGTGTTTGAAGTCTGACCTATATAAGCGAATTTACATATGTATATATATGTATATATCTTGTTCAAATTTCCAGTCATTAATAAAATACTTTATTATTCATCCATTCAAGTTCAAATTTTTTTTTAACTTATAGTGAATGACACTTGATGCTAATACAGTTTTTTTCAAATATTAATTCATTAGTTAAAACTTAATTAAATTAAGGAATGAATAGTAACACACTAAAATAATAATCCAACACCATATATAAAAAGGAAAATCGCTCGTTCTGTCCCTGTAGCGCAATGGATAGCACATTGGACTCCTAATCTGAAGGTCGTGGGTTCGAATCCTACCTGGGATGGCCTAATTTCTGAGAATGGGATTTATGAATGAATAAATAGTCTCAAACAAAAATAACATTCCACCACCATATACAGAATGGAAAATAACTTTCTATTTTCGCCCCTTTAATAGTGTGGTTCTATCATTTGTATTTAGAATGTATACACATATTTATATTAATTGTATCTATTTATAAAAAGTGAGTAAAATAAAATTTTTTTTGATGTTAATTGTTATTTTTATTACTTATTTCAGTTTATTGTTTCGTGTAATAATGTGTTACTGTGTTTTCTTGCATGGTTTATGCTTTTCGGTAAGTATAATTTTGAGCAATAATAAAGTATATTTTTTTAAAAAAAGAAAACAAATGAGACTTATAAAACCACTCATTGATCCAAATCGAATTCATACATTTATATATATATATATATATATATATATATATATATATATATATATATATATATATATATATATATATATATATATATATATATATACGTCAAACTGCACATTATTATCTATTTTTTTACGATTTTAGTTTATTTTACATCTAAATATTTACATATTAATATTTACTCTCATTAACCTTATGGTGCCGTAAGGGTTACTAATAAAGTTAGAAAAAAATGAATAAAAGAACCAACAATTTTTAATCTATTCTATTCGATCTAATTATAAGATCTTCTTTGGCTAAGGTTGAGCAAAAAGGAGAATTACACGGAAAAATTTTTCGCTCCATTGTCAGTAGAACCACTAGCTCAATTTTTCTACGCTGTAACCAGATATCTCCTCAGCGTGGAGTTGAAAGACGAATACAATGCATTGGAATTAATATAAAAGTAACCACAAACGTGCCTTGATGTTTCAGGAATTTGGCATAGATGAAAAATGCTGATCACCCTGACATTCGGCCTACATCCTACATCACGAGCATCTTGTGCGTGGCGAAAGTTTTGTTCCTAGAACTACAATTGGTATTATTGGACGCTGTTAAAAATATAATTGAAATTCAATGCAAAGACACACAGCTGTGGAATGTTTGAGATACTTTCTGAAAAAGGAAGGAAAATCCCACACCTATCCATCTTCTTCACACGGAGGCGAGATAGCTATCGAAGGGGTAAAATACAGGTCCCGATTGCTCAATCCAGAAGAAATCAATTTTTCTAGGAGAAAATTAATCCAAAATTTCAAGAATATTGGTCGACGATGAGTGAGAAACCAAGCTAGTATAACTAGTATATATATTTTACTTGTGAAAAAAACATCCTTGTGCAAAGACAACTTAAGGACACAAGAAAAGTGCGGTTTGCTTAAGAAGATTGCTAATACTTTCAAATTTTGATGAATATAAGAGAGAGAGAGAGAGAGAATAAAATGTCAAAGTCAGCATGGGGTAGTCATTGTTAAGCAGTTATTGCAATCATTCACGGAATCTTTTAATTGTTATTACTCAAAAAAAGAAGTTCCCAGACATGGCAATATAATAATAGATCCATTTTCTGCAAACACGCAGAAGACAGCAATTTAAATATGGGTAAAAAAAAAAAATCTCATCAATCTGTCATCCGATGACAGGCACTGATTTAAATTCTAGTCACCCCTGTAGAGACCTCCTTCTTGACTCTACATAAAAAAATGAGTACTCATTGTTGAGTGAAAAAAGTAATAAATATATATAATTTTGGTTCAGTTTTCAATGACATAGTTGTGCAAAAGACATTTTCATTTGTCGCAACAATTAAAACTGGGTATCTGTCTCGGCTCGTAATTAATACGTCTTTCCACCTTTCAGCTAGGTCTCAGTAGAACAAAAAAATTCATAAAATCATTTCAAAGAATTAGGAGTAATAATCTCTCTTAAGTATAGTTCAATTATTTTATATTAACTAAAATGAACTTAATTGGCATGTATATGTATTTTTTTGTGGAGAAGGTTTTTGTGCTTTCCTCTTTGTTGCAGCTCCACACCAGGTGGTGCTGCAGCATATCAAATTCTGCACCATTCAATCAGTCGCCACGTTGCCAACAGGGTTGCCAAAAATGATGCCAACGGCTCTATCGCCAACATTTCGCTACGTTTCTATTGAATCTCCATTATAATTTAAGGAACGGCGTTGCTTGCGAATCTTACACAGTTTTAACATAAAATAAATACAACAGAAAGAAATATTAATGTATTACACATCCAGATATAAATTATTTACACTATTTTAAGCATTCATTACACAAAATTTGCAACGAATGTTACTTTTGCTGAGCAGAGATCAGTTTACGAAGGTGTTGTCAAAAATCGACCTACAAGAGAGTTACGGAGGCGTTATAAATAAAAAAATCCTTTATATTAGCTATTGGACTTACAAACTTAAAATTTAAAAAATATGATTTTTAGTTCAGCTGAGATATGCAGAAAGATTTTTTTTTGTTTAATTTGCAATTCACGTAAAATTAACTCATTAAACACTTCTTTATCCTTCAATTTATATTATTTAATTTTTCAATTCACCCGTGCGAAGAACGGATATTCCAGCAAATTATTTATAAAGGAATAAAGTTTCAAAAAAGTGTAAAATGTTTAAAATATAATCATAACTTTAAAAAAATATAAGCCTATGAAAATACGAAACATTTCTAAAATATTAATTTTTACGTTGCGCATGATATTTTCTAAAATAGTTGCTCTAATTACTAGCAATAAGTTGATTTTTAAGTTAAATCTATCCTTATTACATTGTATCTATTTTTATATAAATAGAAGGATACATTGTATTTGTTAAAAAATAAAAAAATTACATTAAAATTTTTTTTAAATTTTCAATATTTTTCAAATAGTTTGAGATGCAAAAGATATATAATACTAAAATTAGGTAAGGTTTAAAAAGTATGATACATTTTATAATTTTATAAAGTTTTATACACCGATGGCTACTATTTTAGAAAATGGCATGCGCAGCATAAAATGTATTTATTATTTATTACAGAAATGTTTCTTTTTTATATGCTTATGATTTTTTAAAATCATGATTATATTTTAAACATTTTACACTTTTTTGAAAAATTTCATTCCTTTATAAATAATATGTAAGTAAATCGAATTATTTAATTTTAATTTCAAAGAATTACATTTAATTGAAAATTGTTTATATTTTCAGTTCTCGAAAAAAAATAACACCACTGAACTCCTTTTAAAGTATTTTTTTTATTAATGTAATAAAATCGCTTATTAAGTAAAGTCTAAGTACCAAATATTCCGGCGTATCACGCTCACTTTTAACAGAAAAAAATCAGATCAAAAGTTTCAGGTGTGCGTTATACTCCAGTTATGAAAATTATATTTTTAAAAAGAAGGAAAAATTAGACATCTACATTTTAGTTTATTGATACATACGTCTAAAGGCTGAACTTATGGCGTTCATCTGCCTAGAATGGGTTAAATTCATGACGGTCACATGATAAAGACAAACACGTGTTCTCCATTGAATTCAAATCAGACATCAAACTAATTGTACTTCTTGTTTTATTAGTAAAACTTGGGTAAAATTCCAAATTTTATAATTGGTTAAAAATGTTCAAATACTATAAAAAACTAGCAATATAAAAAAAAATTTAAGTCAAATTCCTACTTAGATCAAAGAAAATTTTTATTGTAGGTACTTTTTATTAAATAGTTACAATTAATATAAATATGTATATACATAGGACAGAATTACAACATTAAGTGGTAATTAATTTTTATTCATTATCATTGAAGTATCGCCTTGTCATGCAAAACAATCGTGTACATAAAATTTAAGTTCAACTGAATGCTTTAAAACGTGAGAAAAAACCTTTTCAAGTCTTAACACAAGTCGCCAAAAAGGATGCCAACGTGGCTGTATTTGTAATTCTTTAAATAATTAGTTTTAATCAATTAATTTTTATTAATTATAATTAAATTACTGTATTGTCATCCAAAATAATCATGTATATAAAATTTCAGCTCAATTGAGTGCTTTAAAATGTATTTTATTAACGATTGAAAATTCCACCAAATAAATAAATAAATATAGAGAGAGTGTGAGCTAATAGTAGGAATTGAATAAATTTCTTCAAAAGATTTTAAAACTAAAAAAAATCTTATTTTATGAATGTACTTTTAAATAAAATACATTTTGTGTACCTACATGCATTATTGTTGCCGAAAAATTTGTATTTATTAAGAGAAAGTTTCTACAAAGAGCGAAAGTTGGCAACAACGAAGCGCATGAACCGATTAGCTGGATACACGTCAGTTGGCGTAACGGAGAACATTTGGGCCCCCCTGCAAAGTCAGATTTTGGGCCTCCACGTTGAATTTTACAAAGGGTAGGCACTTGCGTCAGGGGGCCCCTTAGAACCCAGGCCCCCCCTGCGATGCGGGGGTTGCGGGGTGTACGTTACGCCACTGATACACGTGATTGCTTTTATAGTGTGACTATAACGTCACGTGAGTTTTTGAACTGATTGGCTAAGAACGCGTGGTTATCATTATCATGTGGCTAGACGTCACATGAAAAGAACCCATTACTACTATGTCTGTGTTGCATTCTGTTAGTAATTTCTTCGTATTATCCGTTTGATGGGATCTGAACAAGTCTCACAATAAAAGACTAACAGGATTCTTTAAGGATCCACAATATCCACAATTTTACAGCGCTCTTTCGTCCATCTAACTTGCTCGTGCACTTAAAAGTGATACTTTTGGGAAATCATTATTTAGCAACGATTTTCTTTTAAAACTAACTATTAGGTTTGATGTTGCACTGTCAGCTAAACAAAACACTACGGTGAAGTGAAATGTTTCGTGACTAATTGTTTTATGTGAATCGTTGTTTTCAAAAATATAAGAACATTGTACATGTTCAATTCAGGTTTTTTAGTAAAAAAAAAAAGAGGGTGCCCGTTATACGGGATACATCTAAAAACTAGTAAACGTAGTTTGAAAGTATTGCCGAAGAGCACTTGAAAAGGGAAAGAGCCACCGTATATTATTTCATA